TATAGTTATTTATATATGTAGTTATTCTCGAAAAATCGACAAAAGGGGCTTTGTATAATAAATAAACCCAAATACTTTAGAAATGAAAAGTACTTCACATTGTTTTCTGTTTCTCTTATTTGGTAAATTATTTCTTTGGTAAACTATTTAGATAGCTAAATATAAACAAAACACACTCATCAACTTTTAGATGAACTGCCCCCAACTGATTGATATTAAATACAACTCATAGGTGCAATTAAACTTTAAATAAAGTGTTTCTGAATAATTTTTCAATCTCATGCTTTACTTCATCAATCAGTTTATAATATCTGAATATTTTATATTGAACTATTCTATTCATGATAAATTAGTTATTTCCTTTTAATTTTGTAGGATAGTAATACTAGTTATGTTTATCTGCAACATGACATCATGACTTTGCGTAAACATACACGCCACTTTCAAGTCAAGTGGCGTGTTATCTATACGCATTTTGAGCTATCCGCGTGAATGTCCACGCCGAAATGAACCGTCATCTTTTGCGTGTATGTCTACGCCGTTAAATGTCCGAGTGATTCCGCGTGTATGTGTACGCCGTTAAATGTCCGAGCGAAACGAATCAAAAAGTATATCTACGTCTGTGGAGCGATATTTTTTTTCCTAGGATGGTAGGGGAAGACTCATAAATGGTATTAACCCCAGTGACGGGTAGGTTTAGGGACGGGGTTGGGGTAGGTCATATATTTATATATACAGTAATGTAGTTAAGTCAACGGCGTTGATAAACACGCTGAAAAGCGATTATGCGTTGTAGCAACAATGACTTGTTTTAAGTAGCTCGAATTATTTATAGGGAATTTTAATAATTAATCATGAAATATGATTAATATATTTACATATTACAGTTAAATTATCGAAATTGAAAACCGATCGATCATATGTATGAATGGTAAATCATAACGAATTATAATTCCTCATTCATATATCAATGGTCTCATTACAGATCGATTATATGAGATAACTTTAAGGGAATTAATTTAGCTATCAAACAATCGGTTTGTCCAGCAAACAGCCGTAAGATTAACTTAGCAACTTCTCAACAAAGTTATCCCTTTTTATAAACTCCAAGGAATATCAATGTTCCGGCCGTGAACATTAATTTTCCTGTGTTTATAAAATTCAGGTTACTGAAATAGTAACAAATTGTAAAGCTTTGTAGCTAGACCAATCATTTCATTGACTTGTAAATGAGCACTTCAGGATCAATCAAGAATATGGTTTTAATAATTGAAACTACGGATACAGAATTCTACATTTAAACACGGGATACATGTATGTACAGTTAAACAGTAAAACTAATGAGACAGACGAATAACAAACAGGAGTGAGAGAGAGAGAGGTTGCGAGAGAGAAAGATTGGGAGAGAGAGAGAGAGAGAGAGAGAGAGAGAGAGAGAGAGAGAGAGAGAGAGAGAGAGAGAGAGAGAGAGAGAGAGAGAGAGAGAGAGAGAGAGAGAGTAAGAAGATCTGGAGAGATCTTCTGGTTTGGCAAAATTCATCACAGACACAGAACCTTTTGAGACACACAGATCAAATCCCCTGAATGTGGCAAACAGATCTTAAACCATCTAAATCGATAGGAATTACGATACTTGCATGGGTATTTCTCGTGGGCTGAGAACGAAAACATGTGTGTGTGTCTCTGTCCTCGCGTCATGCGTTCACGTGGTCTTTCAGAGCGGGCAAAGCGCGTTAGTTTGAATGAAGGCTTAAAGGTCTTTGTTTCTCCTGGTGTTGCTGAGGAAAACCGCGTCTTGCGTGTGTGTCCTTAAGAGCGGGTGCGTGCTTTCTCAGCTCTTCCGGGCGAGCGTGGTCGCCACAGATTCAAAGAGTCTCCTTCAGGTTGAAGATGCCGATTACGTTCATTTCACTGAAACTAAACGTAAGAAAAATTCCGAAGACGAAAATAAAGAAAGATTAAAGAAAACGGAGAAAGCTCCCTAAGGAGCCATGGACCCAGAAACCTCTCACAGGAAAAAGCTCTCGTGTGTTCCCAAAGAAACTTCTGTGTCTCTTATGGAGAGGGGGGTTCACGCCTCTCTTTGCGCGAACCACACATGACCGTCCGCGGATCTGAAGCGGACACAGTTCTCTTTGTCAAGAATTCCCACTCTTTGACTGAGTCATGAGGAGATTGCATTTGAGTCGTTCGGCTCCTGAAATATGAAATGTGTAAAATAATGCACCTTACTTCATTATGCTATCGGAATTCGGCTCCGTTAGATTGAGCGAATTACAGACATATCAGACACGTCGCATGAAGATTATCGGAATACAGAGTTACATACGATATGCATTTTATAAGCATTTAATGTTCCTTCACACGACTATAAAGCCATAATACCTGCTACCATGACCTAGGAAATATCAAATTCATGTTTATGCATTTCTTAAGTGGTTATACTTATAGACAATATAAGATTGCAGAGTCTATTCCTCTTTCTTCATCAGAATTCAAGTGGGAGCTGTGATTTCCCTTGGAATTCCTTTTGGGAGTCATAAAGTTTTATGACCTAGCAAGAGGGAGAGTTATAGAATCTTTCTTTCAAAACTAATTAGATATGCATGCATACAGGAAGGTCGTTTGTGTGCGGGTATGTGTGGATGTGATTGTTCAGTCAGCGTTTTCTCCGGGGAATCCTGTGTGTGCGGATTTAAATTGACAATGCTCGTCTTGTCATCTTCGTAGGAAACCCTCGGGGCGCTCTCCGCGTGATCTCGCCAAAGCGGGGCTCTTGGTCAAATGTCTTTTGGTGGTAAACAAAGTCTTCTTTGACTTAATCATTAGAGAGAACTGCCGTGTGTGCGAATTGTAGTCAGTGACTCAATCAAGTCCGAACAAAACTTCTTTGTGTCACAGCCAAAAAGAAGGGTAAAGCTGTGGTTGATTAAATTAGCTTCCAGTAATTTTAATCCACTGACCAGGATTTGCTAATTCCGAACCTTTGGCCGGATACCCGTCAGTGTCGCTACAGCGTGTTGATAGCACGCCAAAAATAGAAATACGAATTCGCGTGTCATACATACGCCATTTCATGAGATCAGTCTGTTAAATGTGTTCCCCGGTACATTTTTGCCATGTCTGCTTAGGCTACACTGCGTTTTTAAGGGACTGGTTTTGCTCTTTTTCTGATATCTGGCAACCCGTCACCCTGCGCTTTAAGCAATAGAAGTTCAGAAGTGACTAGAAGGAGAGCAGCAGTTTGAAAACCGAACAGCAGCTACTGTTAGTGTTGACAAAGTAGCCTGGTTTAAATTATACACACCTTGTAACTGCGTCATTATTTGACCATAGCCCGGTGAACACCGCGCTCCCTCTCAGTGCGTGTGCACCATAGACAGTATAAGAAGGGTGTGCACGCACACGTCTTCTGCATCAGTAAAATGCGATTGGTTAATTTGAGTGTCAAGTTGTAATCACGTATCGAATCAAAGGAAGATTTTATCAGCTGGTTCGGTGGCCAATTGTTTTGAGTTAGAAATATAGCTATAACTCGCGATGCATATTTAGTATAATTTTGCCTCAGATAGGCTACAGGATTATACATTCACTTTAACAAGCAGGTTGTTCATTACCACGGGCGGCAAACTGTTTGCGTGTTTAAAAACTATACATAAGAGACGGAAAGATGCAGATAACTATACATTATTTAAGGTTATTTCTATTCGTTACGATATTGATATATGAACTGTTGTCCAGCTTTCCCCGTTGCTAGCGTGCACTCCTCTAATCTGTCGCCTGGGTGCTGCACTGTTAACTGCTGCGCCTTTCCCCCCGAAAATATCACGTTAACAACAACAACAACCCTTTAGAAAATGTAATTCCTTTGTGGATCCTCTTGATCTGCTTTCTCCGTGTTTCTTTTTACAATTCGCTGTGTTTCAATCTCACGCACGTTGCACGCGAGTTAACCACGCCCACTTATTTGCATGTCGCGGTATACACGGAATAAAAAAATCTGTTACGGTTGACATTTTCTACCGCGGTAACGATATATACCGTCATACCGCCCAGCCCTAATTGTCACCATTGTTGAGATTCACAGGCTGATTCTTGATCTCGGTGTCTATAAAAAAAATGTGAAAAAAACTTTTTGAATGTGAACAACTTTTAAGAATTTTTTTTGATTACATTGTAAAAGTAAAATCTTAAGTAAATCTAACTCAGAAATTGGGATCTATATGAGTTCAGTGATTCAGGTTAAATGATTGTGTAAAAACGATCATATTAAAAACACAACCAACTCCATCAGATCACCTTTTCTATTTGTTCATCTGGCTGTTATAACTCAGGTACAGCAGCCAAACAAAATCTAAAGTTAATGATTTAAGGGTCACCAGCCCAACTAAAGCAAACACTGATCTCCATAATGGTAACATAACAATTACGGTTTTCTCCTTCAGTGATTCTGCTTGTTAACATCAGGTGTCTTCAATAATGCTCAATCATCGCTCAATTAATCACTTAATTATCTCATTAACTTTAACACTGCTTCAGTGTTACTTATAACACTCTGAGTGTGGACTCATATAAACTCTGTTAATTTAACACTGGGGATTTTGCTGTGTACCTATTTTAACATGAAATACATCAAGACACAAAAGTAAACTGTGTTTCCCAACTGGTCTTTAATTGTGAATTGTGAGACTGTCAATACAGAATGTTTAATACAGTTGCATTACAACCTCGTTATAGTTCTTTGTTTACATTTGTTTATTATGACTTGTTACATTTGACTACTGTTTAGACTGGCGTTGTACACACAAACCCTCACCTGAAAGGGAGAGAAAAAGAGATTAATAAATAACATACAATCTGAAGCTGACCCAAATAACAAAATAAGACAGTAACAAAATAAGAGAGATTTTATTTACCCTGTCCTTGATTCCTATAAGAGGGGGAAAAGATTAGTCCATTAGTGAAGTCCTTTCAGAAGAAAACATCTCGCAACACCATTTCCCCATCCTTGTGTTGTTCAGTTGTTTGAAATAAAAAGATGAACTTACTGAACGCCCTGATTTTCCAGGAGGCACCTGTAAGTGGCGATCTCCTGCTCCAGACGGCTTTTGATGTCCAGCAGTACAGCATAGTCTCTGCCCTGCTGCTCAATGCCAGAGCGCACCTGACAAAGCTCTGCCTCCAATGAGTTGATATGCTTCTGAAAGCCTGCTAGCATAGCGCTGTACCTAGCCTCTGTTTCCAACAGTGAGCACTCCAGTGCTCCTTTCTGTGTGGGTGATGAGAACAGTCAAAAAGAAAAAAGACAAATTTACATTAATCCAAAAACAGTTACCTTGAATAGAACAAAACAAAGACAGGTTTATCTTTGATAACAGCTAGCTACAAATTGTATCTAAAGAACAAGGCTGAAAACTTTTGGCATACTTTAGGATTGTAAACAACAGCTACTGCTTCACTGTCCACTTTGCCTTAATTTAGTTTTGGAAGTCATGGATTAACACGCACATATGTGAACAAATATTATAACTCAACATTTAACATTAGTAACATTATTATTTAACATGTTCATGCCTCAGATAATGTATTACCAAAACTCTCTTTCCACTGACTCTCACAATCCTTTTCTTTCTTTCTTTCTTTCTTTCTTTCTTTCTTTCTTTCTTTCTTTCTTTCTTTCTTTCTTTCTTTCTTTCTTTCTTTCTTTCTTTCTTCATTACATTTCTTCATTCTCCATCACATTCTATATTTCCTATGTCTCACCTTGCTGATTTGAGACTGTAGCTCGATCTCCAGGCTCTGCAAAGTACGTCGCAAATCTGAGATCTTTGACCTAGAGGTTTCTAGGCACCCTGTGTTGGTGGCAGCATCTTTACACAGATCTGCCATCTTAAAGAGAGTCACAAACACACTTACTATGTGAGCTATTTAACTCGTGATTCACATATATTGTTTCGCTGTATTACGGTAATACCACTCCAAACTGCAATTTAAAATCAAAAGTCTGCCACTATGATGGCTAATTAGTGTTCACATGTAGAGGAATTATAAGTCTCACCTTCTCTTTGAACCAGCACTCCTGTTTTCTGCAGTGTTTATCTATGATGGTCTCATAATGACAACGGATGTCTTCCAAAACCTTGTTCAGGTCTTGTTGAGGAGCAGCATCCACTTCCACACACACTTTTGTGTTTGTTAACTGACACAGTAGTGCTGCCACATCCTGCAAGCACGCATAGTTCAAGCATTATGGCTTTAAATTGTGTTTAAGTTATTGTTAAATTTAAGTTATTGCTTCCATCTTCATTTAAAAACATACAAAATTCTCATATGATTATTCTGCTACAGGCAAACTGTTACAAACCTCCTGGTGACTTTTCTTCAAATATACCAGCTCCTCCTGCAGAGCGCAGGTCTGCATCTCCAAGTCGGCCTTTGCCAGGCATGTCTTATCAAGTATGCGATGCAGGTTATCAATGTCAGCCTTCACACACTGCCGTATCAACGACTCATTCTCATATCTGATTGGTGAAAAGGTTGGAGGGGAATGAAATGATCATGTCTAAACATGACAATGATCTATGTACAAACAAAAATCTATATAGCAACACATCTTTAACTATTGTTAAATTTAAAAGATTAGCACTTATTTTTCATTGTTTCTTCTATGACTACATAAAAATATTGTATCTATGGCTGGATTACATCTGTTCAAATGAACATCTGTATATGTATGTACATACATTTGCTTGTATACATGTGTGTTTATATATGTGCCAGCCAGAGGTTGTGCTTCACTTTGAAGGACTAATTTTCCATTTTATTCTGTTTTTATTTGTCTTTGACAAAGTAATATACCTTACTGTTTACTTATGCGAAAAAGGAACACAAGTTAGAGCTTATCATTCTGTTTTTATTTGCCTTTAGAAAAGTATGAAAAGAACTAGATTTAAAAATGCCTTTAGAGAACTCACTTTATCCTGAAGTCCTCAGCAGCCAATTTAGAGTTGTCGATACGCAGGAGGATTTTGCCGTTGTTGATGGTAGCATCTTCATCTAATCTACAATGAAGAGCATTGAAAAAACTATCAATGTAGCTCATTTATAACATTGAAACAAACATTATGTATTTGTCTATTTTTTTATCAATACTATTTACATTGTGTTACTGCAAACTGTTTTTTATGCAGTGATATTTTAGTTCACAGGAATCTGAATCAGGAATCTGTGCCATTTTTATTAGAATCTCAGATTTCAGACACAAGATTTCCACCCTTAATTGTCTCAAAACTTCCATGTTGTACCTTTTCCTGAAGGCAATCGATGGTTTTCAAGTAGCAACTGTAGTCCCTCTGGCAGACCGGCCCCTTCTTCTCATAGTACTCGCGGATCTGCCTCTCCAGAGTGGCATTGGCAGTCTCCAGAAAGTGCACCTTATCTAGGTAGGATGCCAGACGGTCATTCAGGTTTTGCATGGTGGCCTTCTCGGTCTTCTGGAGGTAGTCATAATCTCTTCCATAGCACCCTCCAGCCATGATTCTTGCACCAAATCTTTCATCGTGTCCTCCACTGTACAGTCTGCCGTGACATCTGTATGCTCCATCAATTCTGTATGGTGGACATGGGGAGCAAGTATTCGAACGAAAAGAGCAGGAAGAGATGCGTGTCCTTCCTCCAAAACCGCAGCCATAAACACTGTAGGCTTTGGGAGCAACTGTACCACAATGACCTGGAATGATTATGGATTTGGAACTGGTCTCAGGGCACGGTTTGAGGCAGGTGTCAGAGCAGGTCTCAGAGTAAGTCTTCAGACAGGTCTCGGGGCAGGTCTTGGGGAAGGTGAAGGAGCAGGGCTTGGGGCAGATCTCAGAGCAGGTCTCAGGGCAGGTCTTCAGACAGGTCTCGGGGCAGGTCTTGGGGAAGGTGAAGGAGCAGGGCTTGGGGCAGGTGTCAGAGCAGGTCTCAGAGTAAGTCTTCAGACAGGTCTCAGGGCAGTTCTCGGGGATGGTGAAGGAGTAGGGCTTGGGGCAGATCTCAGAGCTGGTCTCAGGGCAGGTCTTCAGACAGGTCTCGGGGCAGGTCTTGGGGAAGGTGAAGGAGCAGGGCTTGGGGCAGGTGTCAGAGCAGGTCTCAGAGTAAGTCTTCAGACAGGTCTCGGGGATGGTGAAGGAGCAGGGCTTGGGGCAGATCTCAGAGCAGGTCTCAGGGCAGGTCTTCAGACGGGTCTCGGGGAAGGTGAAGGAGCAGGGCTTGGGGCAGGTGTCAGAGCAGGTCTCAGGGCGAGTCTTCAGACAGGTCTCGGGGAAGGTGAAGGAGCAGGGCTTGGGGCAGATCTCAGAGCTGGTCTCAGGGCAGGTCTTCAGACGGGTCTCGGGGAAGGTGAAGGAGCAGGGCTTGGGGCAGGTGTCAGAGCAGGTCTCAGAGTAAGTCTTCAGACAGGTCTCGGGGAAGGTGATGGAGCAAGGCTTGGAGCAGATCTCGGAGCTGGTCTCAGGGCAGGTCTTCAGACGGGTCTCGGGGCAGGTCTTGGGAAAGGTGAATGAGCAGGGCTTGGGGCAGGTGTCAGAGCAGGTCTCAGAGTAAGTCTTCAAACAGGTCTCGGGGAAGGTGAAGGAGCAAGGATTGGAGCAGATCTCGGAGCAGGTCTCAGTGCAAGTCCTCAGACAGGTCTCGGGGCAGACCTCAGGGAAGGCGAAGGAGCACGGCTTGGAGCAGATCTCGGAACAGGTCTCAGGGTAGGTCTTCAGACAGGTTTCAGGGCATGTGATGGAGCAGGTTTCAGAGCAGGTCTTCAGAGAAGTCTCGGTGCAGGCTTTCGAGCATGACATGGTGGATCAATGCAGAAATGGGACGATTGCAAAAGGGGCACGACACAAAAAGTCTTTAGAGATGTCCTGAAGTATATGGTGCCTTTGAACCAAGCTCTGTCCTGTTATATAGTTAGAGCTTGAGGGCGGGTTCTACACTCTGTTGATGGGTGTGTCAGATCGTGAAGCCAGCACCAGCAATATTGGTACTCAATGACCAGAGAGTTGAGTTTCCACCCTAATGAGGAAACTGCAAAGGAATGAATGTGTGTGTGTATTTATGTCTGAATAAAAGATGGTGCCCCAGTGGATAAACCAGACACTTATGAGTAAGTTTAACAATTCATACTCTATGACGACATAACAACTAGCAGAGAGTCAGTTCGGGTGGAGTTTCATTTATACACATGACTCAAAGGTCACTAAACAGACTAATGCATTCAAAACAAAGACAGTCTTAAGCACAACAAAGCTTAATCTTCATGGTAAGGTCAGAGAGGCCTATTAAAATAATTTGATGATAAAACGAGAGTTAATTTTGAAGGTTTTACAAGTATCACTGGGGTCTCTTGGACCTAAAACATAAAATCAGTCCAAAAAAAAGTCTCAACAGAAAATAAGGCTTAAGTTTGTGATTTCACCAAGGATATTCAAACCTGCTCCATCTAAAAAAATCTTTCAATCTTCTTGATGCTTCATTTCAATTCATTTTCATTTTCTCCTCAGAATTTACTTTATGGAGGCTTATGTGAAACTATTTAGCAAGCTATGTGTGTTTGTCAGAGTCAAGACTTAAATCAGCTAATTTTATACTCATTAAAAACATCAAGCAAGAACATATCAGGTCATTGACAAGATAAGAAACATTTTATAGTAATATCACGTGTGATTTAATTTTTTATACACATACACACACACATAATGTATGCATGTGTGTGTGTTAAACATTGCATTAAACAAGAACGCTTGAAAAACATGCACATCACAGAACAAGAATTATAGAGAGGCACATTAATATGAGGAATTTTGTAGCCACAAAAGTATAGGCAGGAAAGCAGGTAAGGATTTCTCTTCAGGTAACTTAGATTTTAAGAGGATAAGAACCTGATTCTATATGTATTCATAGATGTAAATATTTAAGAAATAATCCCCATTTTAACGGATGAAAGAACAAACTGAAGCTGTTTGAAAAATCTCTCCAATACATGATGTACAAAAATACCCAGAAACTTCTTTCTGTTTTAAACATGTTTATGTTACTATAAGGCCATCACTCTTCTTCTTTTTTTTTGTTTTTTAATCTTTCCATTTTTTTTATGTCAATACCAACACCATGTTTAACTATAGAAGTGTGCTCATAGCATGCTATGCAAGTTACAAGAAATCATAAGAAACCTAAAGAGAACGTTGTAGTATCAGTGTTACACAAAACTCTTCTTTTTTTTTTATAGATTTTGGGAAACTTACTGAATGTTAGCTTACTGAATGAACTATTGGGGGTGGACTGTTAGACAAAAAGTTCAAAATGAGGGATCCCTGTTGCATTATTTCATCATCGTATTTGCTCCAGCATAGTTTTCTTCCAGTCAGATGTGTTAAGGCTCGGATACCCGGAAAGAACCAGACATGAAAAATACCTTGAACATGGGTGTAAATAATGTGTGACCAGCCTGACAAATCAAGTAGCCTCATTACACTTAATGACTAATTCAATAATTTAGCTGTTTTAGTGAAGGGCACACAAAGCAATGGAATGTCTATAAGTAATATCTTGACTTACTGTAATAGAACCATGCGTAATTTTAAGTGCAATAATTTTTTTTAAGACGTGGATGAGATTAGGAGCTAGACTCACCTGTTAATGATGGTGCATGCTGTTTATGGTATGTGATCACATACCACAAAAAGACATAAGACAAAGGCAAATACATTTCTGTTGAATATGTCACTGTCTCACTGAAGGAAAACAATTTTGTTTTCTTCTTTTATTTTGAATCTTATTTTGTATATATTGATATTTAGTAATTCTCTGGCCTATAGGTCAATATATATCATATTTATGTAGCCTATATTTAATGTAGGCTATGTTAAATGTATTAAGACACTTTTTGTAAGCTTGTGTGGCTAACTTTTTTCTTTATTTCAAAAGAGTAGCTTGACTGGACTGAAATTATGTTAGTTTGAAAAGCTAGTTTCAAAATAGCTTTAGACACACTGCCGTGGTGCACGCTAGGATCTAATCCTGCCTCCAGGAATTCAGACCTTTAGGCCTATACAATGAGGTAAATAAAGAAAAGGGTATACAGTACACTTCATAATATTTAAGTCTGTAACTTTTTTGGGTTAAAAATGATCCAAAATAAATTTGTGTGCAAGTACATAACCAGCCAGTGTTCAAAACTACTTCCTTTACCTCGATTCAAAATGGTAAGCTTGTAATAATTATTGTTTTTAATTCCAGTGGTACTGGTGGATTTCTGCGGGAAATTTGAGCATGTCTTTGCGTCATTACGTCACATCTGTACACATAAAGAGTCTCAGCTAGTGGGCTATATTGCGTGTGAAGATGTTGGAGGTGGAGATTTATAGCCTTTTCTCACAGCACTTGATATAATTAAACGTATTAATTTTATGGCGGATTCAAAAATCAAGTATCAACATCATTTAGTGTACAGTATACATACATTCATACATACAGCTCGATCACCTTTTGATTTGCACCGAGCGAGGGACAGATAAAAGTGACTGATCACAAGATCTCACAAGTGACATAGAGGCTGTGTATGGCCTAATAAGATCACAAATATAATCTGGGGTCGAACTATGTAGAGCCTTGTAAGCAAAAAGAAGGATCTTAAAGTCGACTCTAAATTTTATTGGTTGCCAATGCAATGAGGCAAGAACAGGGGAGATATCCCTTTTCTTAGTTCCTGTTAACAATGGCTGCTGAATTTTGAACCATCTGTAACCGAGACAGTGTAGTTTGAGGTAGGCCAACGTACAGAATTACAGTAGTCCAATCGAGAGAAAATCAGTCCATGAATCACAATTTCAAGGTCTTTACTAGATAGAAAGTTTTTCACTTTTGCTATAGATCAGAGTTGAAAAAAGCTACTCTTTACAACTGCATTTACATGCTTGTCAAATTGGAGAAGAGGATCAAAATAGACTCCAAGATTTTTTGCATGATTGTGTAGGTTGTTACTTAAGGGACCTGTGTTTTAATGGAGTTGTTGGTAGCAGCAGGGCACTTCGGTCTTATTTTCATTCAGTTGCAGTGAGTTATGTCATCCAGGTCTTGACTTTGTTGAGGCATGTGAAAAGGTTGTCTAATGAAAAGTCATTTCCTGGTTTGATTGGGAGATATGGTTGGAGGTCGTCAGCGTAACAGTGATAATTTATGTTATATTTCTTGAATATTGAGCCTAAAGGTAACATGTAGAGGGAAAACAAAAGAGGGCCAAGAATGAATCCCTGTGGAACACCACAATGGATCGGCGCAGAGGGTGAAGTGAATGACCCGATATTTACAGAGAAAGTCCTCCCCTTTAAAGCTCCTGTAGGTAACTTTTGAAAACATGTATTTGCTTAAACTGTCATTATGTCCTGACAGTAGAATATGAGACAGATAATCTGTGTAAAAATCAAGCTCCTCTGGCTCCTCCCAGTGGTCCTATTGCCATTTGCAAGAAATACACGCTCCCGGTCAGAAACAACCAATCAGAGCCGAGAGGAGTGTCTTAGCAGTGTCAGTCACGCTCGTGTACGCGCTGATCACACCCCTCTCTTGCACAGCGCGAGCGCCGGAGCGCGAGCCGTCGTTCAAACTCAAGATTGCCGGCGTGCTGCAGCTGTGCTTATGACGGAGAAACAACCTAAACTGCCAATTCTCGAGTGACACCTGCTCATAAAACAAAGAGGTAAAAGGAAAAAGACTGATGACGATAAACAAGCGAAAAAGAAAGAATTACACAGAGCCCATTGACTCGGTGTCAAAACTCGAGCCGCGTAACATGTAGATAAAATGTCACGCACTCTGCTAAGCAACAATTGAAACCTGCTAATTCACTGGCTTGTCATGTTGCTGAAATAATGTACGAGCACACCTTATCTAGCATTATATATCGCTAGAATAATTACTTACATACTGTAACGTTATTACCGTTATATTAACGTTATCTTACTAGCCATTTATAACTTATAGAAAGAGTGCAACATTATAAAGTTACAT